AGAAGCGTCTGATTCAATCTTGAGAAATTATCCCCCAAATAAACAAATTGAATAAGCCCAAATTTTTATTTGGAATTCCAAAAACTAAAACATAGGAATATTCGACTGTTGTGTGTATCGCAGGAAGAATTAGCATGAAAAGCAGAACTCAAACGCACATAACAATAAACTTCAGAAGCCAGAAGACAAACAGAGACCAAAGTAAATATACAAACCTTTATCGAACCCCCAACAAATAATCCAAGAGGGAAATAGTTCAGACGGCCATAACGAAGCTACGCTCCGCTAAGCGGTCCGCGAAGGAGGAAAAGGTCGAGACAGATAGAGAAAGAAGATGGCGGAGGGCGACGGAACGGAAAATGGGTATAACAACATTATATTAATTAGCTCGATAAAATTTATTGAATTAGTAAATAAAGAAAAGAAATCAAAGTTTTTCCCTTTCCCATGTAAGAATTAAGACGAACCAAAAAACAAAAAACAAAAAACAAAAAACAAAAAAAACGCTTTTGAACTTTTTCCTCAGAGATCTAATGGAGGGTCAGTTTCTTCTCGCTAGTTGCATCCGTTGGCAGCGGCGTCCAATCTGTACCTTCCATCTTTCGGCTCTTTAATTTTGATTTGCAAACGAAGCATCCTGGAGAAAACAAGGGAAATTATTTTAAGTAATAAAATTTTAATCTTTTTCAACAGTCCGAAAGGTCCCATATGGAAGATTCCGAAGGGTTGTTGGAGGCTGATTAATTACGTAAGGTTAAATTTAATTTTCTTATCTCCTAAGAGAATTAAATTATTAGATTGGTGTCTGGTCAAAGGGATAATAACAGAGTTTTCAAAAGAAGAAAAGAGATAACAACATAGCAAAAGTCCTCCCTTTTTCTCATTAAAATAAATACCAAGCTGGTAAATTAATCAACCAGATTATTTATATTAAATTTTAGGAGATAACAAGGGATGATAATGAAGGTGATAAAAGCGCTCCACTTTCGTCGCTCGTGTGGGCCATGGTTTGGCAGATTTAATGACCGGAATCATTGTATAAAGGATTCTTGGCACATATACAAATTTAATAAATATTCTCCACATACATACATATATACAATATATAAATATTAAATATGTTGGATCTTCCCACTGGCCACTGGTTTTGTGAATCGAAGCTCCACCGTTTTGGGGGAGAGAGAAGGAAAATTTAGTTATAGTCAAGAAGGTAGAGAGTGGGGTTTGTAGGGTGGAAAAAGGGAAAACAATTATGAAGGGCATGAAACAATGATTATTGAAAGCATGCGCACATGTCCCTCCCCAAGAGCAGACTCGTCACTTTGACTATTGACGTCTCTTTTCAGATTTCAGAACAGTGTATCCCTAGCAATCGCCAATTGCAACTTGCAAATGCAAGCAATAAATGTTTGTTCGACATGGATTCTGTGTTTCCCCAGGCACCAGATTACAAGTCAAAACCCACACTTCATTGTCAAACACATCCCATCTGATTTCCATACCTGAAAGTTCCTGCATCAAATTTTGATGCTCCAGCCAATTCCTGTTCAACTCTGCAGAAACCAGCAAGCATGGAAAACGAAGAAACACAGTTTTATACGGCAGACGTGTTAGTGAAGCGAACAAATTGCAGCATGTGGCAGGAATTTAGTTTAATTAATCAAAATCCTGGAGCTTGCAGTTGCCCCCACATGGGGACCTTGTTAAGTCTTGCAGGTGTAATGGCTTGCCTTCTATGCTTCTGTTTCTTATGTGTCAATATTTTCAAAAATAAAAATTTTTTGCTTCTAGATGCAGCTTTTTGGCTACACGGCTCCATGACATGTGAGCTCATGTCTGACCATCTAATTCTGTGAAAGTGAGATTTCTCATTCTTCCAGATCAAAAGCAACTAAGAGTCTACCTCCAATGTCAAAGACTTGCACACAAAAACAAAAACGATCCATCTTAGCAATTAACAACACTGGATCAAATGTACCAAAAATATACTGCGCAGTGCTCAGAAGTCACAATCAGTAGACAATATCAGAGTGAATGAAAAACGGTGAAGTTTATTGAGATATGGTATCACAATTTTGTATTTATGATTTTTAACGCAGTTCATTCAGTATCTGTATTACCCCCCTTGGGGAGTAGGTTGATTACATGGTACAATTGGTTGCGTTTCTATGGTATACTAAAGAATCATTACCACAACAAACTGGATTCAACCTGACCTGAGGGAGGGCCTCTACGCCTATATGGAGTATTCTCCAACCAGCGAGCTCTCTTAAATTTGAAAGATTACGACAGTCTGTTGGTGGAGACGTGCCCAAGTAAATGGCAGAAACCCTTTAACCTCTTCCATAGCAATTGAGAAAAGTCTGAGAGAGTACAAGTAAATCAATTTGGCCCCTATTCTTCTGTGGTTCTATCACAAATGCATCCTGGAAGGGGATTTGCATAAAAACTCTCCTCCAACTTTGGGAATTCTCCAGGCTCCCGAAGATATGGAGCCCCTGCCCGATTTTTATGAAGCTTTTTCACTTTTGAACTAAATTTTTTCCATGATATCTTTCTTTCATCCAGATCATCAACAAGTTTGACAAAACTTGCCCTGCACCAATATAGCATTACAACAACTATCATGCATCGCCAACGAACTGAATGGGGTATTAAACAACCAAGATGTTGCAGTTAAAAAGTTGTAAGAATTGAAATCAAGAGAAGAATTTTGATGGTTACTTGTCTGGACTTATGGTCTTCTTGAAGCCCTCAAAACGCCTGTGACCTTGAATTGCCTTTGCCATATTTCCATCATACGTATAAATAAAAACATCGCTTTGAAGGGCAACGACATAGTCTATACCTGCCAACATGTTCTGGTGATTCTTGAAAGGATTCAGCTCTTCTTCTGTGGAGAGTGTAGAATGAGAGTATATATTAGGGAAATCATCCTTAAGATATTGCATACTTCCATTTCCATAAGCCTCACCAGCTACCAAGTATATCCTGGTGCTGGGTGGAAAACCCAACCCTCTGAGCAAAAGGGAAGTCTCCCTCGGGGTCAGGGGGCAGCCACCAAGCAACCTTCTCTCCGTCCCGTTGATATCCTTCTCTTTCCAATGGGCAACTTCATAACGCATTCTACGCAGCTCGCCATCTTCTTCTGTCATCAAATAATGACTGCAGCCTGTAAATGCAAGCATATCCTTCTCATACCTATGACAAGGACATGGGATCATTTTATAATCTTGTTTCGCAGTAAAAAAAGAAAAGGATAAAGGTAAATGTACAAGGAAAATTTTCAACCCCAAGCTTTGGAAGGTGGTTATCAACACAACACTTGCCTCAAATGAAGAGCAATATAAAGGCCTCCATTCTGTCGCATTCTAGAGACCAAGGTACTCCCTAGTTCTTCAATTGGAGCTGAATATTTTAATGCTTGGAAATTGACACGACATCTCAACTTCTGTATAGAACTCGGGAGACCATTGTTAGCCAGCCGGGAATCTGTATGAGTAAAATACATCACCTTGTGCTGCTTCAGCAGTGGGAGGACCTCTGTTTTATAGTAACCAATCTGCATGAGATAAAAGAATATTGTTACATGGACATTCAAGAATCTGAAGTGGTTCAAATTGGAATAAGCTGCATTACACCGAGTGAAGCACATAATGAAGAAGAGGGCAATCATCTCATTCTAAAACATTTGATATAATAACACATATAGGGGTGCTTGGGAACGTTTGGAGTGGAGTTGTCAAACCCAGGTTTAATAGGAGAAACCAATGGGCTTAAACAGTAGCCGACTATTTAAGCCTCTTAACACAATTTTTCTAAACCTACACTCCAAATACAGTTTTCCTAAACTCAGACTTCCTAAACCCTCCACCTAAATCTCAGGCTTAAGATAATGAACCCGCACCCCCAATGACCCCATAAAGGTTCAATATTATTCATGAATGCACGCAAACAGAATAGTACTTAGCTCCTTCAAACATGGCTCATTTCGTGTTGCCACGACTACGAGGATAACAATTGAAATATAAGGTTAACAATGATGACCTTGGACCAAGAAATTGGTGTTTTGTTGAAAGGCACTAATTCAGCATAGGCAGGTGGTAGTGTCTCAACTATATGAATATCGTCCTTCAGTGTCTCAAGAAAGTGTTGCCAATTGAACAGATCTTTAAAGTTGCTGCAAACACAGATATAAAATCAGTTATAATGTAATGGTGACAAGCCTGGCATTGTTCACATAAAAAATTATACAAGTTATTTTAAGATATTACAACAGTAACACAATTGCAGAAGTACTCATTGCAATGGAACCTTTCGTCTGCCCAGTAGGATTTATGATCAAGCGAGGGAAGGACAAGTGTTGCCTTCATAACCTTTGCAATGACAACCATGTCACAGATCTACACCATAGAAGAGCCGACATGTCAGAAAATTGTTGGTTTTTTAAAATAGCCTGTGGCATTAGAAAGCAGAATAGCTAGACCCCAAATCTCATCTGATTCAAGCCACCATTGGCATTTACAAGAATGTATCCATTTGTCTTTGCATCTAGCTCTGCAGAAATGGAAAAAGGAAGTGAGTGAACTTAAAACCTAAAACTAAATACACTATCAACACATATCGAGGAAGATCGACTGCAACTATCTGTAGACAAGCATAACATACTTTTGTGGCGCCTTCCCTCGTCTATGCAAGGAGCAAAATTCTCGCTATCGGGTTTCAACCAGATTTCTGAATACTGCAATCAGTTTGATAAATAGAGTAAGAAATGTTTCGATTCTCATCCATCTGGTCTGATTCTTTAGGGGAAAATAAAAAGAAAAAAAGACGAATATGACCCAGATGAAGTTAGTCACCCAATCATAAAACTTTTCAAACTCAGGTTTCTCACTTGCCTCATCCATGGAATTTTGACGACCACCTACACCTGATTCCATCATCAGAGCTCGCTCAATATCACTTTCCCCTTCTCTGTGTCTAATATTATGAGAACTCTGATCCACTTGACTTCGACTTGTGATGGAGTCAGGTATATCCTATACAGGGTGATATATTTGGGTAAGAATAATGAATCAAGTACGGTAAACAGAAACATATTAAGGGTACAGAAAGTTGTAAACTAAAGAACCATCAATTTAAAGATGCTAAGCTTCATCATCCAAATGTAATGCATTTCTAAAAAAATTGATGTGTCAAATGTTATCTGATTATTCGTATAGATACTTACCCTCAAGACCAGCTGAAAATAAAGATCTGCTCATAAAAGAATACAAGTTAATACTAAAAATTTCCATCAACCTAACCTGGTGTGATTCGTTGGTCTCAATGACAGATCCAAACCAACCATTCATGCAGATCTTCAAAATACCCAGAAACAAGCAGAGGCCACAGAACATCATGAACATCCAATGCCCCAATTTCTTTTTTTCCCTTAACCTAAAGTCGAGAGAAACAAATCCATTTTTTAACAAACTTTTAGCAGCAACACCCCCGTGGATTCTCTGGCTAACATGTGGAGCCGTCTTCCGTTCCAAAGCAGATTCAACCCCATCGACCAGAACCGAGCTTCTGAAAACTTCTGATCTGGGTGAGTTCGCGGGAAGATCGATCTCATGGTGACTACTGAGCACATTATTGTTGATGATGTTCGAATTATTGCTATTATGAGCGTCAGTGGAGTTGTTGTTACGCTTGAAGGAGTGGGCACGACGAGTGATAGGACCCGAGAACCGCGGGCTGTTGACCCTTTGAGAAACCCCATCGTTGCTGTTGTGGTGGCGCTGTGGAACCATGATCTCTCCCGCCTAATGATGGTTTTAGTTAAGATATCGCAATCAAAAAGCATGAGAAACTTTACAACCTCTGGTCTGCAACTTCAACAGTTCAAAACTGGCAAACCACATTTTAGAAGGTCTGGGGAGGGGAGAAAAACCAATCCCTTTGCTATCTTCAGCTTCACCAATGGGTATAAATGTGCCTGTTCCATAAATTGAAAAGAAGTACAAGTCATGGGGAATTAATGCTGGTAACGACAAACCCAGGATACAGGGCGTCACAACGTCGTAGAATTGTATATGTGTAGTAAGAAAATTTGAGCACACACTAACAAAAATAAAAATCAACTAATGGAAAATTAAGCAAAAGAAAGTCGTCTAAGAGTTAGAGCCAAAAAACCAACACACCCCCTCTTCGGTTTTCTTCTTCTCACCTGAACTGAACTGCCACTCCGCCAAATCTTGTTCTCCATTCATTACAACCACTACACAGCCCTTAAATTATTCCTCCTTTTTTTTTTCACCAAATCGCAAATACACCATCAGACCCGTATTCTTCAAATAAAAAACCTTTAAAGACGTACCTTTCGTCAGCGATGGGCATCGACGGCGATAAGAATGTGAATGAATGACGAGGGGATTCCGGAGAGAAAATGGCTTGGGAGCACTAGTGGAGGATGTATAGTCTGCGTCGGGTCTGACGAAATGGACTAACACGCTTTGACGCTTCTACTAGATTAGCTAATTCTTTTATTGCATAGATTTTTTTTTCTCATCTTTTCATTCATTTTGCTGGAAATTAATATGATTAGCACGCAAATTTGTAAAGTGTCGTGCTTTTTACAGGCTGCCATTTATTTTATTACTCTGTAGTCTACTGTTACCATATCTCAAATTTCTTGTAGTGTTATGAAGCCGAAAGACTCAACTCGGTAAACGAATTGATCAATAGAGCTGCTGGCGGAGAGGCGGGGATCTTAATAGTTAATCCTGATGTTTATTGGTAAGAAAAAAAAAGAAAAAAGAAATTCCAGTTCCAATATTTAAAATTTCAATGATTTGACGAATCTTTACATGCTCTAGTTGAATTAACCCAATATCGCGTCTAATGCATCCGTTCGAGACCAAACGCTAGCTGGCCGTGGACCCATTTCAAATATCGCCCAGAATGCTAAAACTCAATTATGATTCAGCTCAAACCAACATTTTTTTTACTATAATATGTGACGGTGAAAGTTCAAACTTATGATTTTTTGACTCTCATCATTGACCTACGATATATTATATAATAACACAATTTTTTTTTGTTTGTTATTTAAACTTTAAAATGCACAATATATATTTTTTTTAGTTCAACAAGTTGTGAATTAAAATTTGAACCTTCGATATTTTGGTCATAATATATACTTTGAGTTAGGCTCAAGTTGACTTGTAATAAATAATTTTATAATTAAGATAAGTATAATTTTATTAAATATGTCAATCCTGCTCCACTCCATCTCGTTAATATAGAAAATATAGTTTTTTTTAATAGAAATGTTTATGTGTAAGGTGATGATTTAAATTCACAGCCCTTCAAAAAGAGCTAGAATTAGAAATACTTTAACTATTATATATCCATCACTTTAGGTTTTCAAATAGATAAAATATAAACTTTAATATATCTTCAAGTTTAAAATTATCAACATTATAATAATTTATTTTTTGATAATACCACTTTACAAATTTTACTTTTATTTATATACTCCATAAATAAAAATGACACATATCTTCCATCAAAAAGTCATGAGCTTGAATATTCACCTGTACTGAAAAGGAAAAAAAAATTATGAAAAAAATTATCATCCTAGACGAGTAACCAGAGGGTTGATCACATTTGGGACTGTGCATTGATTGGAATTCAGAATCCCATGTACTTTTACAGTACCAGAGCTTCCATCGACTTCATTGAGTTCTTCACTTCTTCTAAATAAGAATAGATTTCATATCAGCTAAGCGACTTAGATTGGATATTTCATTCTTTCCATATCAGCTAAGCGACTTAGATTGGATATTTCATTCTTTCCATGAAGAGTAGGGAGTGGAAGCAAGGATCAGATACACAACCTGAGACCTGGTTGTAAACAAACAAGGATTGTAATTGAGAATATATGGGAAGATAGAGCAGAGTCCATTGACGACGTGGGAGGATCACACGCTCGACCTTTTTATGAAAGAGAGGTAATACGAAACCCAGAGGCTTGGCTAGCGAAGGTTGTTTGCACTCTATTTTTTCAATTGAATTCCCTGAATGGTTGCTTTGGTTATCTGAGTAGGAACTTAAACCCCTAAATCACATTCGAGGTTATAAAGCGGTTTAAAGATCCAATATTGGGTTTGAAGTTTTTTGAGTTTAGTAGAGCACACCTAAGCATTAATAACAATACCATGAAGTTCAGATCTCAAACTGGTAAAACAAGCAATTTATATCCTGATTTCTCATTGATTGAACTGTTTGAAAATGAAGAAAAACAACTAACATGAAGTTCAGATCTCAAACTGATAAACCAAACAATTTATATCCTAATTTCTCACTGATTGAACTGCTTGAACTGTTCCTATTAGTTGAGCCATGACATTGGCATACTGAACGGCTGTGTGGTTGAGGAGTGTAGTAATCCAACAGTCCATATTCTGCAAAGTTCGGTTCTATGTGCATGAAACGACCTGGCAGTGAACTTTTTGACATGGCTTCTTGCCATACCTCGAAGAATCCCCCCATCACCTGTCTTGATTTCTCCATTGGAGAAATTGGAAGATACTCCATCTGCAATATACAGGATTTAGTACATTATTGCATAACTACGACACAAGTGCCAACATGAGCGAAATTGGCACATTCTCTGACCAAAAGATCATGAGTTTGAATCCCACGCTTCATTTCTCAAAAAGGAAAAAAAAAAGAAAAGAAAAAACTGCGACACGAGCAATATATGGTCTCAACTGTTCTAAATGGTCGTCAATTGGAACAGCAGCAAAAAGCCATTTTCGTAATTACAGCACAAAAATCAAATGTGCACACATTTGACAGAGATTCTAGTTTCTAATTAATCCCACTTAAATATGATTCTTACTTCCCAGAACTAACAATACAATACATCCAATATAATATACATCAAAGTAGGTTAAAACCAAATTACAGAACTGAACTTTAAATTTCCTAGAGAAGTTTCAGGTTTCCAACTTCAGCATGCGAGCAATCCATCTCAGAGGGAGGCTTCATCACACTTGCTTAGTTGCTAGCATATCCTATTTGGACTTGGACTTGGACTTGACAATACAATAAAGAACATGGCAATGTGTTTCTGAAGAACGATATGGAAGGGGAAAGAGGATAACAAGAGCAGATGATTGAAAGGTGATAGGCAGTCTATCTCACTTTATTTTGTTCAAGGATGAGCACCACAATGAAGTCGAGCGCAAGCAAAGACCAAACACTATTTCCAAGCATCCAAATGAGTTGAAAGACACTTTCCAAACTGAATAAAATCAACTATTTCAGAGCAATTAATTGATTCATGACTACTCTTACACAGGCTTGCAAGGAAATCCTAACCTAACTAGATCTCACTACTTCTCAACATAAGATCGCGACCTTACACAAACTTTTCAGAGAAAATGATAGTTGATACTTCTATCAGATGATTGGCCTTTCTCTTCCACTTCATTGTTTATCAAAATGAGAACAACAGAGGCCATGTTAAGCATTAAGATAAGTTGAATCAATACTTCCTGTACCAAACATTGTTTTGACACAGCCCATGGGAAAGAAACTGCTCGCTCAGATAAAGAATATTGACATAAAAAACCAATAAGAAGAGCATGCAATTGTTAACAGACAAGAAAAGAGTTATCATGAAATGATGAAATGAGCCTTACCTCCATAACTATTCCTCTCAAATTCTCAGAATGGTTGGGAACAACTTTTCCCACTCTCAGTTGGAAATCCCCTAATTGGTATTGGAACCCCTAAAAAATAATAAGGTAAACTGTTTGTAACCAAAGATTTATCGATCTCACACGAACTAAAACAAAAGGGCAAAAGATCAGACACCAGAAAGCCACAAAAATCAACTTCAATTTTGAATTTCTGGACATGGGAAAGTGCAGTTTACATGAGAACTAGAAAAGTTKGGTGTTGAACCTCGAAATTGAGAGCAACGCGCAATTTGTAAGACTGCAACTTCTCCATTATAGTTTGAATCGTAAAATCAGCTTCTAAGACGATCCGTTGGCCACGGATTATAAGATAATACTTGTTTGGTTGCTCCGGCAGYGAGATTCYGAGAAAGTCGCGYGGGAACTCGGCCGCCGGTAAGTTTTGGTCTGCTGACAGATTTAAGATTCATTCGGGTAATTAAATCCCGACGGCCACAGCCCCCTCTCGAGAAAAAGGAAAAAAGAAGATATTCTTACAAACGACTCTATGAAAAGAGTGCAATTACCTCGTAAGATGGGTCTGTAAAAGGTGAGTAGCTTTCCACTTGCCCCCTTTAACGCCATGGATACTCTCAACACATTGAGAAACTTCGTTGAGGATCTGACTGTTAACAGTGCTGCTGGCATTCGGTTGCCAATGCAAAACCCTAGCCAAAAAAGCAAGGAAAACGATAAAAACTAGATCACGAATTAAATCCCGGCGAAAAGGGACGACAATTTGGGGTGGGGTTTCTGGGTTTTTACCATTTTAGCGGCATACTCCCGGCCGTACGAAAGTCGCTGCGAGAAACGACGGAGGTAAGTCGGAGCAGGTCAAGAACAAGTTACAACTTTAGCAGAAAGCCCAAAGGGGAGAGTAGAGACGCTTGCCAGCCCAAACTTGAGTACTTGCCTTTGGACCCATAGAACTCTTTGGATTTGTTATGTTATGAGATTCAACAATTTTGGTTCCCTGTATAATGGGCAGTGGAGGTGACAATGTAACCTCACTTCCAATTTCCCAAGGGCCACCACTTTGACCATCCTTTCTTCTATAATGTTACACTTATTTGTGTCGGTTCTAAAGTTAAAAACAAGTTCTTGTCATTCCAAACATAGCTCAGTTTTCAGGTCGGAAGTTCAATTTTTCACACCTACTTTATTATACTAAACAAAAGTATCTCCCCTTTATTCTCTCTTTCTTGTCCTAGACTTATTACTCCTACATTACATCGTAACAAGCTACCAACTTGGCACCATTTTAGCATGAAACTGCAAACAAGTAAACGAAAAGGGTCACAAGCAAAATGAATCAGAACAGTTTCGTTGTCAAGACGAGCAGTGTGAATTAGAAAGCAAGTTGTTAAAAGCACAAATAACTTTTAGCAATGCTCAGAAACCCAGATAATTCCAACACCAAAATCTTATAAAAAATTCACAAATACCCCAAAATTTTAGCCATGCAAACTCATAACATCTTTTCTAATGGATCTAATTTTTATAACAAGTAGCTATTTTAAGTTACTGTAGATCAACTTGTATGAAGTATCCTCAAATTTGACATTATTTTTTCTATTTCCCAATCAATTTTTTCTTGAGCACTAGAATGAGGAAGGCTAGAAATACCAATCTATCATACTTTGTGGGTTTTCAAATTCTGAACAGTCGACTTTGAACTCAAATGGAGGAGAGAGACGGGAGCGGCAACGGAAGCGGGCGGCGACGGAACCACACCTGGCGGCGACGAAGAGTTGAGTGAGAGGAGAAAATGGAGGAGAGAGAGGAAAGGCTTGTGTGAGACTTGAGAGTTAGATGCAAAATGGGGAAGATGAGAAATGTCAAGAGATGATTAAGATTTAAGATAAAAAAAATATAGAGGCATTATTAGAGTCGGGTCGGGTTGACCCGAATCTTAGATGGCCAGTTTGGGCTACAGATAAATCGGCCCTGATCTTCGACTCCCCAGCCCAAAACGAACCCACCTGAACTGAAACTTAATTTAGACAAAATAAAATGGAAAACCCTAAACGCAGGAACCAGGGGGTTATTGACTCATCGGCTTTGCAGCTGTCTCCTAGTCCTCTCCATGAAGAGTTTTTGCCGGAGTTTTTGCATTATCATATTTCGGGCTGTGCATTGATTGGAATTCAGAATCCCATCTACCATTCCAGTTTTTACTTCTTCCAAAAGTTGGTGTGTTTTATCAATCAGCATTTTTTGTAGACCACCAATACGGTACCAGAGCTTCGATCCACTTCATTCAGTTCTTCACTTCTTTTTAAAAAGAATGGATTTCATATTAGCTATGCGAGTTAGATTGGATATTTCATTCTTTCCATGAAGAGTAGGGAGTGGGAGCAAGAATCAGATACACAATCTGAGAGACCCGACAGAATACCTGGTTGTAAACGAACAAGGATTGTGATTGAGAATTTATGGGAAGATAGAGCAGAGTCCAGTGATGGAGTGGGGCTGCAGATGACCCTCTTATTCTTCTCTAGCCGTGCCTACAGGTTTCGAGCCTCCAGTTTCTCCATTGCCCAATTTCATAGCTTTACTGACGGAGGGTCACGCGCTCGATCTTTTTATGACAGAGAGGTAATACGAAACCCGGAGGCTTGGCTAGCGAAGGTTGTTTGCACTCTATTTTTTCGATCGCATTCCCTGAATGGTTGCTTTGGTTATCTGAGTAGGAACTTGACCCCCTCAATCGCATTCGAGGTTATTAAGCGGTTTAAAGATCCAATACTGGGTTTGAAGTTTTTTGAGTTTAGTAGAGCACACCTAAGCATTAATCATAGTTTTAATACCTATGATTTGCTTATGAGGAATCTCTGTCAAATGGGTCTCCATGGTTCTGCAAAAATGGTGTTTGATTGTATGAGGTGTGATGGCATTTTGCCGGATAGTTCCGTTGTAGAACTATTGGTGTCTTCGTATGCTCAAATGGGAAAATTAGATTCTGCCAAAATTTTCCTTAATGAGGTTCACTGTTACGGTATTAAAGTGAGTCCTTTTGTATACAATAATTTGTTGAATTTGTTAGTCAAGCAGAACCAAGTAGACGAAGCTGTCCTACTATTTAGAGAGCACTTGGAACCATATTTTATTCCGGATGCTTACACTTTCAATATTATAATTAGAGGGTTGTGCAGAATAGGAGAAATCCATAAGGCTTTTGAGTTTTTCCAGAATATGGGAAATTTTGGTTGCTTTCCTGACATAGTTTCATACAATACGCTTATAAATGGGTTTTGTAGGGTTAATGAGATTAGTAAAGGGCATGATTTGCTTAAAGAAGTTCAGTCAGTGAAAGGGGTTGCCCCAGATGTTATTACCTACACATCAATTATATCAGGCTATTGCAAATTGGGTGATATGAAGGCAGCTTCTGGGCTTTTAGATGAGATGGTTGGTTCTGGAATCAAACCCAACGACTTCACTTTCAATGTCCTCATTCATGGTTTTGGTAAAGTTGGAGACATGATATCTGCTTTGGCCATGTATGAAAAAATGCTTCTTCTTGGCTGTCCACCAGACGTGGTTACACTGACTTCCCTAATTGATGGCTATTGCCGGGCAGGTGAAGTGAACCAGGGTTTGAAGCTCTGGGAGGAGATGAAAGTAAGAGGCCTGTCTCCGAATGTGTATACCTATGCTGTTCTTATCAATGCTCTTTGTAAGGAAAATAGAATACAGGAGGCGAGATTTTTTTTGAGGCACTTGAAATTGAGTGAGGTTGTTCCCAAAACATTTATATATAATCCTGTGATTGATGGGTTCTGCAAGGCTGGGAAGGTGGACGAGGCAAATGTGATAGTGGCTGAGATGCGGGAGAAGAAATGCAGCCCTGATAAAATAACATTTACCATTCTCATTATTGGCAACTGTATGCAAGGGAGAATGGTCGAAGCAATTAGCATTTTTTATAAGATGTTGGAAACCAACTGCATTCCAGATGAAATAACCATTAATTCTTTGATATCTTGCCTTCTGAAGGCTGGAATGCCTAATGAAGCCTCTCAAATCAAGCAAGCTGCGGTAGAGAACCTGAACCTGGGGTTGTTATCATTGAGAAATCCGCTTGTGAGAAAACCATCATGCGTGCCAATTGCTGTTTGATGAGGTCCATAATGATAGTGGACTAAGAATTTTTGGCCCGCAACGACTGGGAAGTGCTTTCTTCTTCTTTGCCAGATCACAAAAAGCAAGTGAAGGATGAGACGAGTAGACTAAGAGACGGTTAGTATATTTACAGTGACTCTATTTCTCAAGGCTTAATTGTAGCTAGCTATTGTTGTACTACCCATGTGTGTATGTTGAACCTGTGATTTCTCTCTTTTCTTTTCCATTTTTTTTTTTTTT